TATCCAAAATAGATATCGAATGCTATAAGGATCTTAATAATAGATCTTAACCTGATCATTAAAACCTTTACTGCATATATGAATAACAGTTGTTCCAATTTTTTGTAAACTGCACCTTAAGACCAAGAATTCACTAAAAGATTAATAGACCTGTTATGAATTCAGTTATATCTAAGGTAAAACTTTATAATAATGCAATAGTTGATTAAACTACATTTTGCTCCAAATCTAATTATTCTGTTTGTGTTAATTAAAAAGCAAAATTAAAATTATTTTCATCAACCTTAGTATAACGAGATCTTTGGTGATACTGACATCTCACTAAGAACTTCCTACCCAGTCTGTATATTCACACACGTCAGTTGGTTTCTTTCTGTTTAGATCAGTATGTAGATTTTTTCTTCACTTTTAATGAAAACTTGTTATATAATTTTTTTTCCTCTATTAAATACAGTTTCACAATTTTTATTCATATACAATGCTGTAGCTGCCATTTTATATAAACAGTTCTAATTATTATACAAAAATTTGTAAGTCAATAAAATATTTCTTTTTTTTAAAAAAAAGATTTGAAACATTGATTGTGGAATAATTGCTGAAATGCATGCATAATAAAACACAGATTGCTGCATCTAACACATACTTTTGTTTCTTTTAGTTGCTCACAGTTGTCAGACATTTTGCTAAAGCACAGAAGAAAGTTCTAGTTCTTGGAAGAAAACACATGGAATATTGGCCCAAGAAGGAAATGGATACTATTTCTAAACTGTCCTATTGTTTCTTTGCGGACAATGTGTAAGTTCGTGTTGATAAGTTTAACCCTTTCAAGACAGGTCACGGGTTAAAGGCCATGTCATCTTGTTTGTTGACTCGCATTCAAAATTTTATTTGCCTACTATTTCATGAAATTATGTCAATAAGTTTGGTATCAAACTGTAGATTACAATCCAAATTTTAGTACTATATATTACTCAATTTCTTAATTTAAAAGCAAATATAAAAAAACAATGATAAACATTGATTTTTTTTTGGTGCCACGTGGTATGTTGAATGCAACACTGGTTCAAATTAGATGTTTGTGAAGTCAAAATACTAAGTCTATTGTTTTGTATGAATTAGAAACTCAAACTACCAATATTGACAAGCTAGAATATAAAATAAGAATGTCTTAATACTTTTCTAATTTGCTAAAGATATTAGCCTATGTAATAAATCAAAACACAGTGGCACCCTGCCCACCTACTTTCCCTATTTTTGGAA